CCGCCACATGTAGTTCAATATACACAAAACATCAACCCCACTAGAAGTCTTTGGAGCCATATATTGGTATATTACAGCTCCCTCCTCACCGGTCTACCTCATCACAGACTATCCCCGCTTCAGTCTATCCTGAACTCAGAGGCCAGACTCATCCACCTTACTAACCGCTCCGTATCCGCCACCTCCCTCTGTCATTCCCTCCATTGGCTTCCGATTGCCCAACGCATTAAATTCAAACTACTAACACAGACATACAAAGCCATTCATAACACTGCCCCAAACTACCTCACCGACCTGATACCCAAATACCACCCTACCCGTAATCTTCGCTCCTCACAAGACCTCCTACTTTCTAGCTCCGTGGTCTCCACCTCCCACACCCGACTGCAGTACTTCTCCCATCCTCTGGAACTCTCTACCCCAATCCATCAGACTGTCACCTTTCCTCCTCACCTTCTGGTGCACCCTGAAAACCCATCTCTTCAGGGAAGCCTACCCCACCCTCACCTAATTGCTGATCTACACTCTACACTCCTCCTACTACTCCATCCCCCACAGCCACTTCCTCCTGTACCACTATCCTCTCCCTCCTAGTTTGTAAGCTCAAAAGAGTAGGGCCCTCGAACCCCTCGTGTTTTGTCTTGTTACTATACTGTCTCATGTACTGTCCCCCACTAATGTACAGCGCTGAGCAAACCTTTTGGCGCTGTATAATGTATAATAATAATAACAACAACAACAACTCCACCCAGCTAGAACTGTTTGGCGCCATCTTTTGGTCTAATACTACAACACATTCCTGAATCCTAAAACGCATATCTACAGCACAATCTATTGGTCCACCATCACTTTTTTCAACTGGGGGGCTATTGTACTGATAAACCCTTCTCTCAGCATGTGGCACCATCTAGCTTGTAAATAATAAATTAGCCGTTTAGTGGTTGTGATGAGATTATTGTAGCAGCACTAGTAAAACAAGTTTTCTTTCATTCAACAGCAGGGTAACAAAATTGAACAACCTTTATAGGTAAAAGACTCCCTGCCAAGAATTCCAGTACTTTCAACACACATTTCCAGACATTAGTCCACTGGGAACAGGCCAGTTTTACTAAACATTAACAGCTCTGTCCACCAATTTCACTTTACCCCTATGAATGTAATTTCCCCCCCTCTATATTTGCTCAGTAGAATACACCAAATAGAAGCCTATGCTAGTTTCAGCTGGCTGCAGAGCAATAACATCTTGTCAATAGGCATTCCTTTCCATATATGCTTTGATCACAACATTACTTTCTATTGATTTTCCATGAATGCAGACATTAGGCACGGAAGCTATATTTAGAAAGTTAAGTTTCCATCTACCCATGCTGCATAGTTAAATTCCCTGAATTCAGCATTTCAATAAAATATGAATCATAAAAGGACATCTGTTGTTTGAGCTATAGATTTGAGGATATGAAATTACACATCGCCACAGTAAACATGCGCATAAACTTAAAACTAAAAAGCCCCCGGCACAATCTATGTACGAGACTTAAAAAAATAAAATACTCTGTCTAGACTAGATTGTAAGCTCTAACGAGCAGGGCCCTCGGTTTCTTCTTGTACCAAATTGTATTGTCAGTGTAATGTCTACCTTCATTTAGTAAAGCGCTGCGCAAAGTGTTGGCGCTATATAAATTCTGTACAATAAATAATAGACATTCAGACCCGTCTATTGATGCAGCATGACTGCAGAGGCTTAGTATTAAAGCCGTGTCTTCAGCGCCATCTATTGGTTTACTATAGCTGCGGCAGCTCTGTAATAAACCTATAGCTTCAAGCGCCATCTATTGGTTTACTATGGCTGCAGCAGCTCTGTAATAAACCTATACCTTCAGCGCCATCTATTGGTTTACTATAGCTGTAGCTGCTCTGTAATAAACCTATACCTTCAGCGCCATCTATTGGTTTACTATGGGTGCAGCAGCTCTGTAATAAACCTATACCTTCAGCGCCATCTATTGGTTTACTATAGCTGTAGCAGCTCTGTAATAAACCTTTACCTTCAGCGCCATCTATTGGTTTACTATGGCTGCGGCAGCTCTGTAATAAACCTATACCTTCAGCGCCATCTATTGGTTTACTATGGCTGCAGCAGCTCTGTAATAAACCTATACCTTCATCGCCATCTATTGGTTTACTATAGCTGTAGCAGCTCTGTAATAAACCTAAAGCTTCAGCGCCATCTATTGGTTTACTATAGCTGTAGCAGCTCTGTAATAAACATATACCTTCATCGCCATCTATTGGTTTACTATGGCTGCAGCAGCTCTGTAATAAACCTATACCTTCAGCGCCATCTATTGGTTTACTATAGCTGTAGCAGCTCTGTAATAAACCTATACCTTCAGGGCAGCAGCAGCTCTGTAATAAACCTATAGCTTCAGGCGCCATCTATTGGTTTACTATAGCTGCAGCAGCTCAATTAAAAAAAAGTGTTCAAACAGCACCATCTATTGGTTTACTATAACTTTAGTAGGTTGGTGATAAATCTGTGTCCCTTTGGTGCCATATATTGGGATTTTCATGAGTTTAGCTGCTCAGGAAATAGATCTGAGTCGCTAAAGACTATCATAATCAAATTGCACTGCTCAGCGCTACCTGTAGGTAACTAGCTAAACACAAAACAATCCAATCCATTCTGTTTGTCTAGCGCCATCTATTGGTTAACAACTGCTTAACCACAATGTACATCAACTATACAGCGCCATCTAATGCTTTAGAGTAACTAAAGCAACCCAATATGTGCCTATTCGTTGTCATGTTATTTTACTATGACTATAACGCCAGGCGCCATCTATTGGCAATTATAGTAAAAACCTCAATCAATAATGCGCTAAGGAACCTCCAGCGCCATCTACTGGTTCACCTGGACTGCAGCTGCACAATAGAAATGTGACCATGCAATACCATCTGTTCACCAAGGCAGCATCAGGTCCTTAAAAGTGGTAGTAAACTTACCCCAAGGAAAAAAAAAAAAAAAAAAAAAAAAATTCTCTCAGCAAGGTAACATCATAATGGGCTAGTATGCAGTGCATGCTAGTCCATTATGAGCGTTACCTTGAAACAAAGCCCTCTAGCAGCGCACCATCACTGCTGACAGGCCTTTCATATTCAATCCAGATTCGCAGGCTCCAGCCATTTCAATGACCGAGTCGCAATGAGGCCACTCCCGTGCATGTGCAGGGGAGCTGCAGCTATGGCACAGAGCTCTGAAGGGATGGCATGAGTATTTGGTCTCTTCAGAGCGCGCATGCGCCAGTGCCATCACCAGCTGCTTACTGGAATATATCCTAAACAGTGCACGTTTGGGAGATATTCATTTTACCTACAGGTAAGCTTTATTATAAAGACTTCACTACCGCTTTAACAGACACGTCGATATAGCACCATCTGCTGATTTACTATAAGGACCAATTCACATGAAGCGACAGACATTTTACCGCACTGTAAAAACGTCTGTCGTCACAGGGACACACAGGAAACAATTATTTCCTATGTGTCCCATTCACACTGCAATGCAGCCTAGCGCTGCAATGCAGTGTACTGTGATATAAAAATGTGCTGCCTGACATTCCAGTGAATGAAGAGTTCAAAGAAAGCTTGTACAAAAAAACAAACAAACAAACAAAAAAAACACAACACTACCCCCTAAACAGCCAAAGTGGCTGGAACACTGAACTGATCCAGTTGTATTGCAATATAGCAGAGTTTATGCATGAATTTGCCCTTACTAAACTTGTTTTCATGATAACCTATAGGACGATTGTAACCTATAGGAACATTATGACTGCAATTGCTGAAATTTCTTGGCACCATGCTTTTTTTGTAATGCCTTATCTTCAAATATACAGAGTAGTCAATTACCGGCTGACCAGTCTAGAATATTGCAGAATATTTCTAGCAATGATTACGATTCAACAAAAGGCATTTTACATTTAAAAGGTTTGTTCACGTTTGCCTAAAACCTCCTTATATTACATGTCCTCTCAATACAATAAAACAAGCAGTGCTTGGTTTTGTAAAACAATGTATACTTTTTTCAGATGCTTATTACATTATATTCCCTTTATCCTCCAGATGACAGTATGCAGAGCCCTAAAAACTCATGAATGCGCACTCGGCTTTGTTCCCTACCCACGCATGCACAAGGTATTTAAAAAAAAAACAAACAAAAACAAACACACAGACTCAGCAACATGGATATGGAACAAAAGCCAAGTCATTGTTTGTGAGGCCACGCATGTAAAATTACATACCTTCTTGGTAACTTGTAAATGCTTAATTTAAAAGAATATCTTTAAAAAAAAAAACATTTTTACAGAGTCACTTAACATTTTTTTTATCACTTTTATTGCTGTCACAAGGAACGTATGACAGTAATAGGCATGTGACAGGAGCTCTATATGGAGAAATCTGGGTTCAAGAAGACCCCAAATCCCTCCACTGCCCTTAAAAGCATTTAATCACCCCAAGATCAGTGTGATTGAATGTTTTTAATTTTTTTAAAATGGCATCGTGTATTTCCTAGTAAAGCAGAAGTGATGTCAGGTCATCGCTTCCGGTTACAATGAAAGAGATGAACAAAGCTAATCCAGTGTTTGTTCGGCTCTGTGACCAGACAGTGGTAGTGCTGGCTGGTCGATCAGGACTTTCGGTGGGAAGGGAGATTCCTTTAAAGTCGCGGAAGGGGATGTCCCCTCCTGCTGCTCGTAATAGTAATTGACTGGCTAGATAGCCTCTCTGATTGCGATTACAAAAGAGCTAACCGTCGGCTCTAAAAAACGGTACTGTCATCCCAATACAACCACTTGAAGTCCAGTGACTGTACCAGATACATGACTGGTTAGCAAGTGGTTACATTCTGTTTCTCTTCCACGAAGCCAAATCATCATTATACAGAAAGCCATGAAAAAACACAAAAATAATAACAGTCTCCCCTTCATAGGTCAATGTACCTGTTTGTGCAGGTGGCAGATCCATTCAGCAAACTGGCGGGCGTTGGGTATGGTGGCAGAAAGAAAGACATAGTGTACATTATCTGGGAGGAGGATAATGGTTTCCTCCCACACTACTCCTCTTTCTGAAAGAGAATATAAAAACCATAAGAGCATTAGCCGACACAAAACAGAATACATACTGCACATCATAGCTTATGTTTTAGTTTGCAAAGATAACCTGGACACATTTTATAACCTCTGAACATACAGCTGCATCTAGAATGGGTATGCGCTGATGTTTAGATTAAAATTAGCACAGTCAAAATGTAGAGTAACAGTACTGCCTACATCAGTGTGACCATGAATTCAAGAACCATAAATAAAAAAAAAAACTTCCAGACAACACATTCAGTGGAGTAATAGGAAGACTTTTTTTCTAAACTGGAGTAGAAAAAGCACAGAGCTGAGTGGCTCAATAAACACAAGCAGCCAGGAAGCATTCACTTTGCAAGGAGGTGTACAGTGATAAACTAAATGCTTGAACATTATTGGGTTGCACTGAAACGTACAAGCTTTAAAAACAGTATTAGTACATTCCAAACGTCCTTATTCTGTCTTTTTTTGTATAAATTCTCTCACTTAGGCTCTGAAAAATTCATATCGACTTTTTGATGCCAAAAAAATGTCAGTTGGGGGACTGCATACTAACCTCTTGGTTAGTGAATCATGTAACCATACTTCTGCAGAAGTGTATGCACTGTAATTATTGCCGACAGCCAAACTATTAGAGGTAAGAGTGTTCTATGATTTCTGAATTCAAAGTAAGTGCTTCCACCATTGAGGATAATTGGGTACATGGTAGGCACCCATGCGGTCTGCTCTTAACCATTTTAATTCAATGCCATTTCTGACACTTTGTTTACATTTTAAAATTAGTATTTGTTGCTAGAAAATGTCTGTTTTTGAATTTTTTTTTAGGTCATTGGGTAGCTGCGTAGTGGTTTTTCAAATGCAATTTTTGGGAAAATATACGCTTTTTTTTAAATTTTATTGCAAAAAAAAAAAAAAAAAAAAAAAAAAAAAAAAACCACACACACAACACAATACATACATAACCAAATTTTATTGTAAAATATAAAAATATGTCGTCACGCCAAGCAGATACTAAACATGACACACTTTAAAATTGCACAAGTTCATGCAACGGCAACAAGTGGCGTAATTGTTACTATTAATAGGCAACACTTTGGTAACCTGTAAAGGCTTTTAATTTAGAATTACAGAGGAGGTCTAGTGCTAGAAGTACTGCCCATGATCTGACGATTGCGGCGATACCGCACCTGTGTGGGACCCACACCTGCGTTTGCCTTTGCATCGGGGGCGCAGTTTAATTTTTTTTTTAATTATTAATTTTTGTTATTTTTATTTCTACACTGTCACTTTATAAAAATGTTCTCCACTTTTATTGCTGTCAAGGAATGTAAAACATCCCATGTGACAGCAATAGACACCTGGATACAAATGGAGAAACAGAAAAAGGGCGCACCGACCTAGTGCATTATCGTTTAAAATAAATTTATTGAAGAAACAAAATGTCCTCGAAACGCGTTAGCCAGTTGGTCATCCAGGGTTCCATCGTATGGACTCAGATGTTGTTTGGATCATACATCTTGTTCAGTTTGACATGCCTGTGTTATTATGTCCATTGTGAGAATGATACCTATTTTTTTTTCTTCAATAAATTATTTTAAACGATAATGCACTAGGTCGGTGCGCCCTTTTTCTGTTTCTCCATTTGTATCCAGTGTATTTGGACCACCCCGGTCTGTTGAGGGCAGCAAGCAGTGCATACTCCAGAAAATTCCAGAACATTCCTATTGGGTCTACTGAGTCCTTTCCTAGCGCAAGAGTAAAGTGTTTGTTGTGTTGGATTAGCAATAGACACCTGACAGGTATTTATATGGATAGATCTGGGGTATGAGACCTCTGCACTTGAAAGCATTCAAAACACCAAGAACGGTGTTTTTGAATGCTTTCAGATGTTTAAAAATGGGAGCCGCACGTTTCCGAGTAAACCAGAAGTGATGTCAGGCTGTTGCTTCCAGTTTACAATAGAGGAGAGCTGATCTGGCATTATTTGGCTGTCCAGCCAGTGGCGGGAGGGAAGGGGGTTGTTGGGACTTGTAAAATCAATCAAGTGGCTAGAAGCTGCTCCGATTGCTTGTACAAGAGAGCACACTGCATCACTCTGGTACAACCATAGAATGTCAAGTGACGTACAAGTATGTCACAGGTCTGGAAGTGGTTATAAAGCCCAAACATTTTTTTATTACCATGTTTAAGTAGCAGTGTCCCCCCCATACTTTCCAGAGCCCTCACTAGACCCAACGCTGTGCCCATTTGCAGTGACTCTCTCCCATTACTTCCTAGTCTCACAGGCTTTGCATCTAACTTAAAGAGTTGAGTCTATTTAAACACTTCTGTACATACAAACCATAGTACCTGAATCCCTCATGTAGTGGATTTCGTCAAAAATGACCCAAGCAACTTCTCTCATGACTTCTGAACCTCTGTATAACATGCTTCTCAGGATCTGCAAATGACCACAGGACATGAATTACCCATTGAGGAGTTTAGAAAAAAAATTTGCTGCACACAGGTGCAAAAGGAAAACTACCTCAGTTGTCATCACGAGGCAGGAGGCTGTAGGGTTTATAGTTACATCTCCAGTCATCATCAATCCAACATCATTAAATTCTTCATACATCTCTCTGTACTTTTGGTTACTTAACGCTTTGATGGGGCTGGTAAAAATAACTCTCTGCTTTTCTCTCAAAGCAAGGGCTATAGCATATCTGCAAGGGAAAAAACACACAGATCACATCGCATTCCAGAAACTCCAACCAAAACCCTGGACACCCACTGTGCATGGATGGATTTCAAATACACTAATTTACAAAAGTAAAAACATTTAGGTTTATTCGAAGGAAAGGATGTAAGAGAATTCTCTCTGGTATACAATAGAAGAAACATTTCATAAATAACATGCCTTTGAGCACCAGTTAAAGTGATAGTGAACCCTCACCTTGCAACACAACCCTTTCAGTTTAAAATAGAAATGAAGGGCAAAACATTTGTGTATAGGGTAAACCATTATAAATACCCTTTTTCTTTATAAGTAATCACACTAACTCTGTTTTCAACTGCATAAGAGCTGGGGGAAGAGAAACAGCAGCACACTGATCTTCCCAGTGAACGGCTGTGCGTGGGGGTGGGGTGTCAGGACAAGTCTGATCATTGAAGGAGAGCACACTGAGTTCTCAGCACAGCCAGAGACCAGACCACAGTGTGTTCTCGTGCCTAGTGTGGTCAGCTTTTAATAGGAAAGCAGAGGGACTGCCAGGGATTTCACACAAAGGAAGCAATACAGAGAGCACAGGATACTTTTTCATACAAGTACATGGCACAGCAGGTGCATATCAGGAATATGAAGTTAAGTTTACATATTCTTTAAACCCTGCTCACATCAGGCTACATTTCAGCAATGCGTACTCCACAACGTTTCCTTGTGTGTTACATCACACTGTGTTACCGCAGTTCAGTCATTTTTTAACAGGCTCCAAAAGCAGCAGGGAACAAAAAAATAAAAAAATTTAAAAACATTTTTAAAAAAAAAAGCAGCTTTTTTTTTTTTTTTTTTTTTATAATAGATACAGCACACATCATGCTTTGGGGTGCCATTTAGAATGACTGGAACCACAATTCATTGTAGTGAGCTTGAAGTGTTCTTGTGCATTGGAGTAATTTACGCATTTTTTACAGCAGATTACCACAGCACGATGTAGTACACAAGTCCTTAGTATTTTCTCTGCTGGGAAGAATCCCTAATTTCCTGAGTAGTCAATGGGATAGGAAATATTGTGAATATCTCTAGCGAAAAGATGAAGAAAAAGGCCAAGCTGCTAAAAAATGATGTCCACATTTTAATTTAAATTTTTAGTTTTGGAGTAGGAAAGGGTTTGATCTTTCGTCAGTTGGTCACCCCAGGGGTGCTCTTCGTAACGCTTGGAAAAAACACTGTGTGAAAAAGCACGTGGCCACATCACTAAGATTTTTCTGCACTGTACCTCTGCAGGCTAGGGCCTTTTGGCCAAGTCAAGACCAATTTTTGTAACCAGGCCCACAGAGCCTAGCCAGTACACCAGCCACCGGCACTATTTATTTTTTTTTTTCTTTTTACGGTTTTGTCACTTACATTTTTCTCCGTTTCTTTTCTCATTAGGTGGGTGTGGGTCCTTGGGCCTACCCTGAAGTCTAGGGGAAGGATGTGTGGCCATTAGCTTCCTTTCTCCACTGAACCGAGGAGTGGCTCTTCAAGAGAGTGCCTCACCTACCACTCAATGGTTGGCTTTGGCTGACCACGAGGAGAGGGGTTCACCAGGCCTTTTGGGTGTTCGAGTCTCTCCCCTGTCAGGAGTCTTGCACCCCGGGTGGTAAGGGTAGAGTCCTACTCCTTTGGGAAATGAACAAGAGACACAACCTAAACTGCACCTTGTTTTCTACACTTCAGTGTTTCTGTGCACTACTGTGGATCCAAAAATCTGTCTGCTTGTTCCAGATCAGTCACTGAAACCAAAGAATTTGTACTTTTTCACCACAGGGTTACTTTATATTAATGGGAAGCAATATACATACTCGGCACACACTGTTTTTCCAGCTGATGTATGAGCAGACACGAGAACAGACTGGTTGTTATCAACACACAGAATGGCCTCTCTCTGAAACGCATCCAGTATGAACGGATATTCCTGAAATAGGTTAAAAAAAAAAAAAAAAAGAAAAAAAAAAAAGTCATTTTTTTTTTCCACATATGATTTGATGAAAGCAGAATCTATCATGACATCATTTCTCTACTCTATTATAATCTACACTCTACTGATATCACAATTCAAAACTTTTCAAGAAATATTTATCGCATAACTCTAGGCAAGTATTAAATACCCTTAGCACAGTGTAAGTATAAAAAAATGCTTAGGGCCCATTCAAGTTTTGCCAATGTGTTGCAGCGCACAATCGTAGGGCTTGTTCCCACTAGCAAGCTGCTTGTGAGTGCTGGGGATATGCAGTGCTGATCTGGTAGATCCCAATACGGTGATGCGATGTGGTAGTTTGTGTTGCTGCGCTGAAGTAGCATACTAGAACCGCTGAAAGCCAGGCGCTTTGCCTTGTGCTGGGCAAATGTAGTCCCAACAGAGCTGGTGTGGATAATCCCTTCCCTAATGGACCAACACTGTGCCTCAACATATATGCTAATGGTTATATGTGGTAGTGCCTTTTTAAATGAATGGCACCAGAGTGCACTGTGTAATATATGCTTTATTTTAGAATACAAAAAAAAAAAAAAAAAAAAAAAACAACACGCACAAAATATTACAGCATGGAGCAGCATTCATAACTCAAAAAGAAGGCAACAGATGAGGAAAACAAAGCTACAATAAAAAAATAGTCATCCTGCTGGCTATGCAGTGTTACTGGGGAGTGAAAATCATGTACGCATTTGGTCTACTTTAACCCTTTCGCTGCCACAGCGGTTTTTGCATTTTTTTTTGCACACGTTTAAAAAAAATAATTTTAGTCCTGAATATTACACAAAACATTATATATATGTTTTATGAAAGACACCCTAGAGAATAAAATAGTGGTAGTTCCATTTTTTTATGTGACACAATATTATTGCAAAATTTCAGTAAAAATCACACTAAAGTGAATTTTAGGGCATACAAATGAAATAAATTACCCAAATGTTTGGTAAAATATAAGACAAGGTTGTACCGAGTAAATAGATACCAAACATGTCAAACCTTAACTTTGCGTGAGTCTATGAAATTACATCAGACTTCAGTACCCTATATTTTCTATAGACAACACTTCAAAAGACCGTATAGGTCATCAGTTTAGTGTTATGGAGGAGGTCAGTTGCTAGAATTATTGCTCTCACTCCAGAATGTGTGGCATTATGTAACAAGTATCGCAATCAACATTTTCACATGTAGGCACCCCGACAAGTGCATTTACGCACATATATATGGGGGTGTTCAAAATTTTTTTTCTTTTTTGTGAAAAAAGTTTACTCAACTTTTTTTCAATCACATAGGGAACAAAGTCCCCTATGTGATTTTTTTGGTGACATGTTCTCTTTATTGAGACATGCATGTCTCCTCTGGGCTCCATTAGATGTATTGCAATGCAAACCGTAGTGCAATACATCTTTCCCTGGCTATTCTAGCCAGGAAAGTGACAGCCATGACGCCATGGACCAGAAACAGAACCGGGGGCTGATAGGCAGAAGTCTGCCTGTCAGTTTTATACACAATCCCAGTGGCTGCAGCCTCTGTAGGTTGATAATTTTCATTTCCATTAAAATGATGGGGCATCCTTACGTTCCTAACACTTTACCCAGTCCATATCAGTATAGATATCCAGCATGATATTTTTCTCCATTGAGATCTGATGTGTTTTCAAAGGTGTTCCTTTATTTTTTTTTTAGCAGTGTATTTACATACTCTTAAGCAGTAAAACAGCTTTACAACAAGCCTTCCAGCAGCATGTACTGAGAAGTAATTCATTATCAAGGATCACACAACAAAGACTTTAAAGTCAGGTTTCAGTTGCTTTCTAACAGCTTTATCGCAACTGTTGCTTGTCCACATTAGAAGACTTGTAAGTTGCAAGTTATTCTGCTTCCATAGAAATTAAAAAAGGAGCAATTTCAGTGGTGTGAACTCTGAAGATGAATTTATCCACAATACCTATAGATACAGGTGAATGAGAGGATTTTGGTAAAGTGCTTTTACTGCTTGTTCAGAACATATACAATAGACTGGGTAAAGTTTCTCAATTTTGATAAACTGGCTGTTTAAATTAATATAGCATATTTAAAACATATGCATACCTTTGCAGCTTGTCCAACCCGTGGTCTAAGAGGCATATACTCTTCATCATAAGGCAATGCCACCTAAAAAGAAAAAAATAAATATTTAATTTTGCCATATTTAATCCATTGTAAAAAATATGTTGCCGTTCTTTTAAGTATTTCAGTAAAAGCCTGCAATATTACTTCATTACCAGACCAATTTTACATTTTCAGTGTTGCAACAGTTTGACAATTACGGTTTCATGCAACACTACATCCAAATTAATTGTATATCATTTTTTAAAAACAGTCGTTATTTTTTACGAAAGGAAAAAAAACATTAAATATAAAATATTTTCCCTTACTATTGGTTATAAAACATCAAATTGGTCAGCAAGTATTAAAATGTATTTCAATACCACTTTAAAGTGTGTGGACACCACTGCAAACTGTTAAGAATGTATTTAAACTCCAAGATTTTTTTCCTTTTTATGTCCTTTTGAGTTTATTAAACATCCAGTTGAAGCATTTTGTTACATCGGTTTGAGAAGGTAAAAAAAAAAAATACCTCTATCTTTGGTTTTAGTAGGTGTACCTTTGTTTTTAACTTTCTTTACAGTGGGGAAAAATATTATCATTAGATCCCCTGCAGATTTTGTAAGTTTGACCACTTACAAAGAAATGAAGGGTCTATAATTTTTTTTATCATAGGTGTATGTATTTTAAATGATAAAAACAGAATATTAACCAAAAATCCAGAAAAAAAAAAAAAAACCACACAAAACAAAGGTTATAAATGGAGTTGCAGTTTGATCCCAAAATCTGCAGGGGATCAAATAATTATTTTCCCCACTGTATCGTTTCTATGTATTAAAATGTATTTGTTATACAGTTTGCTGCACAACAGTAATTTTTTTTCATTATTGTTTTCTATAAATATAGATCAGAATTTCCATGGAAGTCCTATAAAAGTAGATTTTTCACAGAAGTAGTGTAAAAAAATACCTGCTGATACCGGCAGACATATTGTGAGCTAATAATTTGCTGTACTGCCTATTAATTACAGTGTCCTTAGCAATCTCTAAGGACTACAGAACCACACCACTCTATGTAATGGAGAATAGGGGAGAGGCAAAATTCCATACTTTTATCTAGTTTCTGTGGTCCTTATAAGGTGTGGTGAGTGAGCGTTGTAACCCAAGGACAGGAGGGGTGCTATTGGAAAACAAAATCACATAAAAATAAAGAAAGTGGCTGCATTTTTTTTTCCAAGTAACGATCTGGTAACCCAAGATAACAGTGTTGGTCATCTTGCTCAGCAGAAGCAGTGACATCGCTCCCTTGGTCATGTGACAGTGCTCAGGCCTATTACTGCTAGAACTGATCACTGTCACATGATATCCCATACCAGGTAGTACCAGATATTTGTACTGGCAGAAGCTGGGGCAAGGGAGACTTGAAAAGGGGCATATGGGGGGATCCTTTAAAACAGACACTGTCACTCTGCCCTGAATGAACAATTGTTGCTTGATGAGTGGCCTTCAACGATCCCCAACTTCAACCCTAGTAAACACCTCTGGGATGAACTGGAACACCATTTGTGAGTCAAGTCTTTAGTTCCAACATTAGTACTTAAGCTCATAAATGCTCTCTCGGCAGAATTTCCTTAGACATTCTTCAAAATCTCATGGGAGGCTTTCCCCATAGAAGTAGAGGCTGCTTTAGGCATGTTGTTGGCCGTGTATGCCCATGGTTTTGGAGTGGGAAGGCCACCAAGCTCATATGTGATAGTCAGGTGTCCACACACTTTTTTCCACATAGTAAAAGAAAAAACATAAAACGCTAAGAAATTGCAGTAGCCAGATAAAGAAAATAGTGAAAAAATGACATAGGTAGCCAACACATGCAAAGAGAAAGCAGCAGTGTGAACCCCAGATGATAGGACGATGAATCAGATTTTGTTCTGGCAACTGAAGCATTCCACACCCCCCAGACAACTATACCTCATGTGTGCATCCTTCAACTGTATCCACTTCTTGGACCTTTATCTTGGGCATTAAATCTGCCAGACTGCAAAGAAAACATGTAAAAAAGTTAAATTAACTTTTCATCAAAGTATATTGTTTCAGCCTGTATGCTGTGATTTGAAGGCCAACAATGAAGATGCAGAACAGATAATAGTCACAATTTTATTGCGATGTTCAGTGGAGAATCAAAGAGAACCTAAACTGTGGAGGTTGTGCCCAACAATACCAAACAGAGGGTAAAGGACTAATGATGCCTGTAAGCCAATTCAAATCCTCTAGAACAGCCCCGCTCAGCCTTTTACTATGGAGAAACATCTGAAATAATATTAGGGTCTCAGGAAAAATGATTATAACTACAGCTCATGTCATCTCATAGCTACACCACATTGGTGGGTCAATGATAGGTTTCCATGCACTATTGGTCAGTGGAATTAAATGTCCATTGTAACAGTGATCTGTGAGAAAAATGCCCATTTCAATGGTGGTCAAAGTAGGGCCCAAATACATTAGGGGACAGTGGGCAGACGCCTCCCCGTTGCAGTCAATGAATATGATCATTAGTGTCAGTGGGTATTTACCAAAGAAATGAGATGAGAATCTCCATTGGTAGTATTCTGTTGGTGCCATATCTCACTTCAAATTTTGTAAGACTAGAAATCAGAGAGCAGTGCCTTTCACACAGGACATATACAGTTGCAGACTGTGCACAGACATGCCTATGCACAAGCACTAGGGATGCACCTAAAACTGTTTTTTTTTTTATTTATAGGAGAGTATGAGCACCGATACTTTCAGTGAAGTACTCCCCGATACAGAGTACAATACAATAGTTTGTGGTGTGATTTGCATTAATGGACGCAAATTGCACCGCAAAGAATTGCATGCGATTTGAACAGGAATGCAATTCCTGTTCAAATCGCATGCGGTTTCCCCACCCCTTCTGTGTGAACCCAGGAGC